TCTTTCATAGTCTTCTTCCATTCTTTAATAAAAATATTATCATAGACTTTGCAGCGAATTTTCTACTGATTGTTTTGATGAAACACTTTTTCGTAATCGGTCAGTTTTCTTCCAAGTTATAGGCAAATTACTGTGAAAAACCTATTGTAAGTTTTGTAGAGAGATTTTTCAGCATTTTTGCTCTAGACCCCCCTAGAAATCTAGCTACGAATGCAACAGTTCCGATTCGACTCGAATCCAATTTCATACCCGACATCGAACCCAAGAATCGGAAAGAGAAGCAAAGTTGGAGTTGAAGTTGGTTCGAGTAGAATCGAACAGGATTGCGTCTCATCAACTGGAATCAAACTGATATTCCCTCGACTGAAAGGAGGGTCAGGTCGAAAAAAAGTGGTCAAAAAACGGAAATTCGTTTGTGTGTGTGTGTGTGTCTTTCGCAGGTCAACGATCAAAGGTAAAAAAAAACATTTTCTTCGGAATTGATCAAAACGTCCAAAAGCATGGCTTGGGAGGGTTGTTGATGGTGGATGTTCGTTGGAGAAAGCATCGAGGTTAACTGTAATAGCGAAGAGAACAAGTAACGCGGCTTAGTAGCCGCTGGCCCTCTACTGAAAGGACATCGCCCAATAGCATCTATTTTTTAGAAGAAATGCTAGATTGGGAAAAGTTTCGCAACTCTTTAATATGAGGACGACGGTGAAATCGTTGCAGAACTTTTTGCCCAAACAAGTAAATAAAATCTATTTTATTTCGATAATGCAATTATTCGATGATAAACGACCAGTTTACAAGAATGAAAAGAAGAACGGAAAGAGAAGAAGAGAGACAACGGACAAACTGGTCATAAAGCTGGCAGAGAAGAAAAGGAGACGCATGACTTATGTCTTATGTCTTATGTCTCGTAGAGAAAAGAAGAACAAAAATTTACACGTATGGAGAGTGTGATGGATGTTAGGTTCGACCGTGAGAAGTTGCATGATAGCGTAGTGGTGGTTTTCTTCGATGAAACTTCGACGTATAAGTGCAGGAACGGGCCGACGTATCCGTCGATAATCGCGGTTTCTTCGTTCTCGATCAAACGTTTTGTACGTGATACCAATAGAACAAATTTTGTACAGATTCGGCTGACTTAACAGTAATCTATGTTATCGGCGCTAACATTAATATTGAAGAGAAGGGTATTGTTTCACGTTGTCGTTAACGTATAAAACAGAACTGGAGGAGCCGGAGAACGAAGATATGTACGTCACATGTAGTCGTTTACTGTCTTCACAAGGAGAGACCGAAGGATGGTTGGATTGTCTTAGAGGTTGTCGTCATAGTCTGCGGGGGTGATGTATTGTCGAGGGAAAAATCGGTATCAGTAGTCATTTGTCGTTGATCTGCTGTCGATATGTACATCGACGCAGATAGTCTTGTAACATTGGTATTGATGTTTTGTCATAGTTGATCGGCGATGTCTTGCAGGTGTTGTAGGAGCGTTTGGTCTTTGTTGGGTGTAGCGGTGGCTATAGATTGTTGAAGCAGTGATGTTGCAGAGTCTTTGATTTTTTTCTATCTTGGTTATCCGATTTATGTATTCGACAGAGGTATAGATCGGCAGGCCAAGAGTGGCGCGAAGCGCTTTGTTTAGGATGATTTGAAGCCGATCCCATACTTTGTCGTTTGCTGTTAGTATTACCGGGTAACCATATGTCATCACTGGTCTTGCAATCGCTTTGAAGATGTTTATCATCGTCTTCTGGTTCGGTTCTTGCGCTGATTTGGCTAAATATCGTAGAAGACTGATACGTCCAGCCATTTTCGTTTCGAGATGTTGGAGATGGCTTCTCCACTTCAGTTGTTTGTCGATAACTGCACCCAAGTATCGGGTTGCATCCAGAGGTTTGATTATAGTATTTTCGACTTTGACTTCTACTGGATGCTTGTATTTCTTTCTTGGGTGAAGTCTGAAGTGGATCATCTCTGTCTTCGTTGGTTGTAGCTTCAGCTTCCACGATTTGTACCAAATTTCAAATGCATCAATAGATTGCTGTAGTCTTTGTGTGAGACTGGTCAGCGTGTTTGATGTTGTCCATAGAGCAATGTCGTTAGCGAAGAGACCATGTTCCGTGTGCGGTAGTATATCGTTCATCGAGTCTGCCGTGTAGATGATGTAACATACGATGTAAAAGTCTTTGGACAAAATGTTGACCTCTTTTACACTGCCTTGTCTACTTCTGAACGTGTCAAATTCTGTTGTTGTTGTTGTTGTTGTTGCAAAGAGCAAACTCTGAACTACAAACTTTTTAACAAAGACAATTTTTCCGAACGACTTTGATTAGGAAGAAAATTATAAAACTAAGGGTCTCTTAAAAATATCTTGCAACTATTTTGCATCTTGAAAAAATCATATTTTCGAATCATTTTATGTTACACCGATTATATTTTGAGAAAAGAACATATGTCGAAATACAATGCATTAACTACTCGATCGGTATCACTTTCGATAAGCTCTTTTGGTCCGTTCATTATCATTTAAATAAAGATGTTTGCAAATTGAAAATTGTATAAAGAAAATAAGTTTTTCGAAAAGAATGCCAGATTGCAAGAATAAACGCAATTACATTCAGAGAATACACATATACACAATTTTTAGCACTTCTTTCTATTCTGAAATACTTCAGTTTAGAAGAAGTGAGTAAAAAAGACTTTTTATTGTATGAATGTCCAACTAATATAGTTCTTTTCAGAAAAAGCTATAATTTGTTATGAAAGCTACATATAAATTTAATTTTCAATATGCTATAAAAAAGAGCATTTTTTGTGCTCCAAAATCGCCATAGCTAAACGGATTGTCTCATTTTTTCCTAACTGAAAAACTCAATAAACGACATGAAGGCATTATCTTCGAGTGTTACAGTTGCAAAATATTTTTAAAAGACCCTTAGTTTTATAATTTTGTTCCTTATCAAACTCGTTCAGAAAAATTGTCTCTGTTAAAAAGTTTGTAGTTCAGAGTTTGCTCTTTGCAACAACAACAGAATTTGACACGTTCAGAAGTAGACAAGGCAGTGTGAAAGAGGTCAACGTTTTATTCAAAGACTTTTGCATCGTACGTTAAGTGGATTGTACTACTTTAGAAATGAATTGTACAAGTAAATGGTCACAAACGACGATTAAACATTTTAATTAATATTGTTGTTGGTTTATTAATTATTGGAACAGGCGTGAGCCTGATAACTGTTTTTGTACTGAGAAAGACAAACGCAACAACTGTGGTTATGACAACTATAGCAGCTACAACAGCATCAGACGCAACAACGAAAACATATTCAACACTGGTAATAACAACAGGTGAGAAAATTCTATTCAAATGCTCAGTAGAGATCTGCATCTCGCGAACTTTTCAATGACATGATATTTGTGCTTAAGTTTAAAAAAATTTAAGCGAACAGACGAAATCGTTTATGGTATATGGAATACATCTGCAGGCCAAGATAGCATACCATCTATACCCGGATGTGAATCTGATCCACCCCAAGCCGCGCTTGGTGGTAGCATAAGGACAGAATATACTAGTCATGGTTTTTGTACAGCAGGATGCCCTTACTCAGACAAATGTGGCTTAGCAACGGGTTTCTATCTGACATTCAAAAGTAGACCATTCGTTTTTAAAAAATTTCAGATTGCGATGAAAAAATACTCGAAAGCTCGTGATCCCATGCGAATCACAATCGAAGGTAGCAGTGAGCATCAATTTAACTTAATTCTTGGTGAAAGTTGGACTTTGATCTATAATAGTATTCCGGATCTCAAGGTCGTTGGAAAGAGACGAACTTTTGGTGACGTCGAATCAGTAGTTGACAACGTGTTGCCCTTCGCAAGCTATCGTTTTCTCGTCGTTTCAAAAAGAGGCAAAGAAACGTCTGCTTCTTACTCAGATGGAAATGATTGAAAACATTCAAGTTATCTACACTGCACACGTATGATATAGGAGCATATTCTCTTTTAGTTTGCTTGCGTCTACTGATTTGAATCGGTTCTTGTGATCATGTGTCTTATGCATTTCTCCGAAATAAGAAAATATAATTTGATGACATTGGTAAGGGCGAGGGTGTAGGCATCTTTTGTTCGTTCGTACTTTACAAAGATCCGCGTCCTCAGGTTGCAAACCTTTTGAAAAAAGTCTTTGAAAATTCAATTATTTTTGAAAAAAGTTATACTTAGTTTTAAAGAGGGAAGAACGACACATCTTTGCCTGTAAAAGTCTTAGTTTCGACTTTTGATTGAAAAATGGTATTTTGCAAAGAATGCGGCTTCATTACAGAGAACAAACTATTAAATGATTAATATGTTGATAATGGATAATATAATGCCACACTATTTGCAGAACTAGTTTTAACTATTCCACCAGTTACTAATATTTTTCCATTCATTAATACAGATGCTGTGTATGTGCTACTCGTTGATAAATCATAATACCAGTATCAGACCATCCAAGAAGAAGCCTTTGAATATATCCAGTCTAGAAGTGAAGTGAGTCATAGAGCGGCTATATAACCTTTACCAAAGGGCCACTTTATACCGTCCAGAAAAAGAATATCGATTTTGCTTTAACTGTTTTAAACGAAAGATCTAGTCGAATTAGATTCATATTCATAATACCAAATTATAAGATCTCATTTTTGACAAATAAGCGTCAGAGAAAACTGTGCGAAACGAATTTTATTCTCGAAAACTCACGGAAAATGAGTTATCTACTATTTTAATCTTGTCTCAGAAATAGCTCACCTGATAGGAAATTGCGCTGCCTACGATAGATTTTTGGCACAATTCGTTGACATACCTAATGTCGAAAAATCAAAGACCTAAAATGGTATCGATGACACACTGAAGTGTACAGCTAGTCCAGATCAGCTTTAGAGATGATCTCACAGATGTAACAATGTTTATACACACGGTAAATATAGTTAGGCGTCAGAATACCTCGCAGAGTAAGGTGCGGATGGTCACCCTGTTATACCAATAATACATCTGTTTTTAAAAGTCGAGGAATCTGAGTGGATTTGAGATAACGAGTTAAATAACCAAAGATCTACGAATACTTTATCTGTTGTATACCTTTCTTCAGTCTAACCTATCTCCTGTAGTACATGGTTAGATAGCACATTATGAATTTGAGGAAATACAATGCTATAGCGAGATTGGATGTGAGTGCCTTAAGAGACACATTACAACATATTATAGGCAATCCAATGGCGGATTCAGAATTTTTGGAGAGGGAGAGGGCGAGGGGACGGCTACAACAAAAAAGACAGCTTTTGAAGTCATCCAAAGCCGTGTAAACCCGTTTTTCGTTCGTTTTTTGTTGGAAAAATCGAAAGAACAATCTTAATATGCGAGAAAATAATATCAATACTAAGGAATTATTTTGTAACAGTATGAAAAAGCACACATAAATGGTACTCTTTGTATTATGCCGATATTGTAGTTTAGGATATCGGTAATGGATACTTATGTCATGAAAAGACCATCCTTACGTAACCAATCGCTATTCATTAAGGTTAGAAGTTTGGCCTTGAGATTGCGCGACGGGCTGCGTGTGGATATAGAAGAGTGTATTTTGTTTTATCTCCTGTTATTGTTCGTGTTATAATAGACGATGATGGGGATGATAATGATATGACAGTTGCAGTAACAGTGATTACCGGTTGTTTTGTGGCAAACCTGACAAACTTTAAAAGCAGAGAGAGAGAGAGAGCAACCGTAGAAATGATTAAAGAGTTGTCAATCATCATAATTTCACGACAGTGCGGATGTTTAGGTTGTTTATAACTTGCAGCACTATCTTCGCCATATAACTGATTGTTATGCAAACTTAATATTATTTTCCGTTCCTCTTTCATTATTGAAAAGGGAGTCAGATACAAGCAACATTACCTTCAACCAAAGATATTTTTATGTTTTTCTCGTTGATTCACGCATTTCGATTCAAATCAAGAGGGTGTGGGCGAGGGCAAGTGTCATCAATGATCAAAACTGACTTTCACATGCCCTCACCCTCACCTACCTACCCTCAAGTCAATGAAATGTGTCAAACTGAATTTGACGAAATCTGTGTAAACGAAGATGATCTATTTTTTACCTTTAATGGAACAGAGAATGCTTCACAAAATTCAAAATTAATCGGTATATCCTACTTGAAATTTAAGATGAAGAAAAGGAAATTCTAATCTATTATGCGAAATAAATCTTTGTATTAATTAGTTTCGAAAGAAATGATCTCCCAAAGTTCATTCTCTTATTACGAGATACGTTTCATCCCCGTTCCCTTTAGAGATTTTGTGTTAATACTTTCAATATTATTTTAAATGTTGGTCTCATTTAATTATTCCAACGATATATCATCGTCGTATTACACGTGACAAATCAAATCAAACTATTCATTCATAATCAAAACAAGGGAAAGAATGCGTTGTGTTTGTTCGAAGTCTAGCAATACTCTTCTGTTATTTATCTATTTCGAGAAACTCTTGTTCTGTCGGATTAGTTCCCAAAGAAACATCGATGAAGTTTTATCGAAAACGAATACAAATAATGCAAAAAATTTGTAATGAAAGACAGCTGAACACTCATTTTTTAAAACTTCTAAGAATGAGATTATCATCACCAGATCCACAAACATATTCGATGGCTTTTGGACGCTTTTTTCGTTGTGAAATGTGATCAAAGCGATACCTTTCAATGTACTGTTGGTGGTTTTGTTTTTGGCCAAAACATTCGATTAACCGCATCAAATGAAACGAAGGGACCTTTTAAATCTTGTTCGGTCGTTTCGACAGGTAAATTCGTCACTCGAGCAGGCGCTTCATCGATTTCAATCAAAGAAAAACATATGTTCATTGATGAATTCGAATGGATGTGTTTGAAGACGGATTTATTTCCCTTGCTCTTTGACTTGATGTTCGATTGCAATTATTTCTTTCATTTGAATGAGCGGTAATTCGCTCAGAAATCCATTTGTCCGTTGTTCCTTCGTTTGTAGCTGAATTGACATTGATCGCTATTTGCACCGCAACATGCGTTGTTGCACAATCTCTTCTTCTTCTTCTTTTTCTATGACGAGAGATCCGAAGGGAATCGTTGATTTTGGTTTCGGAAGATTCGCTATCCCAAGAAAGAATCTCTTCAATTCTTCGGTTTGTCAGGAGAACAGAAGTAAACCTCTCTTAAAGAGAAGACTTCCGCTCCATTCGTCATGTTAGATTGCCTATTCTTCTCAGCTAAAATTCGGTGTTAATTCGTCCGAAACGATCCGATATGAAATTTTCTCGTTTGCCCAATTGTCAAACAACGAAATCTGCTTGAGTTGTTGCTCTTACCATATTTGGTTAAAAAAATTGATGCTTTAAGGCATCAACAACGATCGAATGTTTCTTTTGCCTTTCACAATATATTAAGCCAACTTCAACAGTTTTACGACGATCTCGTTCTTCTTCATAGAATATTTTCCTATTGTTGCCGTCGTTGTTTATCCGGTTCAATATCCAAACACGAAAATAAACACAAATCCTCGATGACTCTCTACAAATGATTTAATAAAACAATCTTTTTCCATTGAGGGTTGGTGGAACAAATCCTGGTGTATCGGTATTCAATTGTGAAAGAGATTTTCACATTCGAGATCGATCATCGCAGTTTCAATCCGTTTGCGTAAGTTCATCCGTGATCTTCGATTGTTTTTCTTTCGATAGATCTCAATTGATATTCAAAAAAATTTCAACACTCTTTTTCCGATCATCTTTGACAGAAATCAAATCGATTCGAGGTATCTAGATGGATGGAATATGCTCGCTCTTTTTCTTTCTCTTTTCTTGTAGGCGCTAACTGTGAAATAGCGTCTCTTCAGACGATCTATTCGCTCTCTGATGTAAGACGGAAAAGAAGATACTATATGAATCGAAAGACATTTCATTCAATCTGATGGCCAGAAGTACGCCGAGTGTTCGAAAGATAATTTTTCGCCGAGTGTGACTATGTTTTACCGTTCTACTATCGTCCGTAGTGCACCTCAAGATGATCTATTTTCTGTTCGTCGATAGGGAAGACGCATGGGGAGAAATTTGATCATGGCTTTTCATTTAAAATCGTTCTTCACTTCGTTAGAACGACTTAAACAACAAGGAAAACAGACGAACACGTAACCGCTGTGTTATTAAGCACATAAAAAGATATGAAAGAAACTAAAATTTCCAACCAATTAAAAAAGTTCTTTCTCATGATTAATAATACGAATTGTACCTTAAGATTTGCCTTTTTGGGTTTCGTCGTCGAAATCTTCACAATCATCTTCGATTTTACCATTCATTTGCTTCTTAACGGCAGCGAAAGAAATCACTCCGACTCAACTGTAAGTTCGACATTTTGGCATTTGTTTTCTGGAAATTGAGTGACCTTTTCTCTTGTTGAGATCAAATCGAGTAAGGATTCGTTTGCCATTGATTTCGCTTGTCTGCACGAAATTCATCGTCGGAGAAAAGTAAACATTTATTTTTCTGTCGTCTTCATCAAGAGACAAGATGATTGGTTCATCTCGATAAAATAGAAGACGAATGATCATTTATTAGCGAGCACATCGATCTTCTTCTCATACTACAATGGCCATCGATCGGATGAGTATTATCTAGACTATGAACTTCTCAGTACATTGTTGAAGGTTCAGATTCTTCAAGTTTCGTGAGACTTAGTAGTTCAGCTATTCCTTCGTGTATGTAGTTCATATACTCGTCATTGAAAATCACATCTACACTCTGTGCGTAAGAAGTTTGATTTCTAATTATTCTTCTTTAGATCACTGCTCTTGAAAACGAAATTCGTCGATTGAGTGCGGTGATACAAGATAAAGATGATCGATATAAAGCAGGCCTAATGACAAATGGTGAATTCATGGAGTCGGCATTGGATTTAGTTAATCTTCGCTCTCAACAGCTCGATCTTGAAAAGCTGGTAACAGGTAAATACATGACATGCCTTTGACAAACCTCGGATCGAGGAGACTCTTCTTTCATGTTTAGAACGTGATGGGCGTCTTTCATATGATCTGTTCGTTGTGGTTGTTCGAATCTGATGTTATCAGGCTTCGTAGCGGCCTCTCTTGAAAATATAGGTTTATATAGGATTTTTACCAATAATATAGGACTTATTTAGGACGATGTTTTCTCGCTGAAAACAGTTAGAGATACTTCTTCTCAACATTGTTTCTTATGAAATCGTATAGATGTTTGGTTCTTGGGTGCCAGAGAATAGAAAATGAGCTTTAAGCCATTTTCTGAACAAGTTCTTTAACGATAGTGATTCTAAAGAAGAAGTCCAATTAAGCATGTGTTTCCTTTATAGAAGGATATTGACTGTATATGTTCACAAAAACAATATTAGAGAAAACCATAACCAAATGCATATAAAAAAACTTCAAATCACTTCATTTTATGAACTAATATTTTAGTACGTTGAAAAGCGCTTGAACCACCATATAAACATGTTCAAAGGAAAATTGATAATTTTAATAAATAACATTTAAAACTTCAGTATCTTTTGTCGCTGCTGCTGCTTTCTGAGCGCATCTTTTCTTTTCTGCTGAATCTTCATTATTTCTTCTGTTACTTTCATTAATTTGTCACCAATCAGTTTACTTCTGTTAGTCATACCTTCAATTAGTATTGCTGCTCTATTCGCATCAAAATGATCTTTGCTTTTCATTCCTGAATTTAAACGTATATTTCCATCGGTTATTAACAAATTGAGTTCTTGCTGTTCCTGTTGCAGCCCCTTTCTGCTCCGACAATAATTGATCTTCACTCTTCAACATTTGTTTGTACATATCATTGGCATTGTCGCCCTCCTTTTCCTCTTCTCTCTATTGCTGTGCTGCTACACTTGCGATTGTTAATTCTTTTTTATAGAAGGAGTGAGAATTTTTGGCAGCTTTGAGCAATTCTTTAGTAATCGGTGCCTAAGATTAAAAAGATCCAAATTAATTTCACTAAAATCAAATAACTATATGTACATTGCTAACAGGACCGCGACCAATTGACTTCACAGCATCATGTGCTGTACGCAAATCATTAATTGAAAAATCTGGCAGTAACGATCGATTTTCAACAACGATATTTTCGTTAATTGAGAAGTCTCGTTCAACATCGGCGTTTTCGTGTGAAATGATAAGGATCTTTCGGACGACCATCTGTTGTTGTTATAGCCGAAACCTGATTCCAATAAAAATCGATTCTATGGTAAATAATACATCCGTTGCCATCCGAATCTATTTCTTTTTTGTTGATCACCCATTTTTCATCAATAATTTCAAGTGAATAAGCTAGCCATTCATCGCGTAAACTATCAATTTCGTTGCGTTTCAACAGATGTGGAACAGCGCGAGCAACACGAATAAGTTGATCAGCATTTCGCACATCTTTCAAAGAGTGATGTAGAATCTGTACGTCACGTAAAAATCCATTCTTTGACGGTAGATTTGATTGAAAATATTGAACGGTACCGTGATATATTTTTCTCACATTATTGAAAAATGTTTCACGCTCTCGTTGCGTTAAACCACTTAACTCTGTACGAGTCTTTTCACCTATGAGTAACAATAAATGTCAGTAATTAAAAGGACTATTAAGTTGCTTTCTACGTTACCAATTCGTATCTGTTTATTTGTGAGTTGCCTCTCACTTAGCTTGAAACATAAGTTCAATAAATCGCTGCCATATTTCAAAAACTTCATCAAAACGGTTGAAAATAATCGAGTTAAGTCGTGATGAAGAAGATGAATAAGGAGTCCTTCTTGTTTAAACTACGTCAGAAGTTGATCAAATATATTTTCACATAAGAAAAGTACAAATCGTAATCGAATCTTGATTACATTTGACGCCAAATTCGACTTAATCTTATCGTATTTATCATTTTTCTGAATTTGAACTTTTTTAGTAGTTGGTAAGAAATCTAAGAAGTAATCACATAACGGCTTCGACAAGACTAGAAAATAATTGGAAATTCTATCATAAGAGAAACGTCGGAACAGTAAAAATGATGAGTAAGCTTACTCAATATACGTGTAGTATCTTTCCCGAGAAGTACCCAACGTGTGATGGTGAAGTACAACAGCGTTTTTTCCATTAGATCATTAAACTCATTAATTGTATCAACTAAATCTTCTTTACGAGCAGGCGATTGCTTAAACCACGAATAAATTTCGGTACAAATATTTTCTACATGCCAACTAGCCGACGATAGACCTAAGAAATTGGCTTAGAACAGGCTAATGATATGATTATAAAAAACCATGCAAAACAACCTGATTTAAAACCATTGTGCACAACGTGAAGATTACATAAACCTATCAATAGTAAGTTACTTCCCATCGTTTTCCATTTCGCATTGATTAAATCTCAAGCGAAATATTGACGGTTGGATTGTCACGAACAAGCATCAATAATCTTCTTAAATCGATACCATCCGTTTTTAGCGAATCAATGATCACAGAGCGAAGTACATTAGCACGAGCATGGCCCAAGAAAATTTACTTGTAAAAATGCGTAACAACCAATCCTTTATCATACGACCAAAACTTGACCAATAAATCCAACTGCTTTTTATTTTGAACATTCGTTTGTTCATCAAATCACAGCACAAACTTCTCGGCATGCCTCAGTTGTTCCACTAACTCTTGATGAAAATGTGGACCGATTCCGTGAGACATTACATGCGATATCTTCTTCGATTGGACATTGAATTGTTGTGCAATGTCAGAATCGGGAAACATAGATCGAAAAATGTCGCCAAGACCATCGCATGAGTTGTACAAAAAACCTCTGCGTGCAACACTCAAGGTCCATATAGCTTCAGCTTTGGTAACTTGTTCGCCAAAATTAAGTGTTGGTGACCTTTAGTGTCATCAAGTCCCAAAGTATTAGTTGTCGGTGGATCATTACGTAGTAATGTTTGAGAATTTGGTGGTTCTACGACAAATTTTGAATTATTCTTCAATGATTTTATAGTTTTTACATGGCCAAGTGTGTTCATATGTCGAGAAACTACACGCCATCCTTGGTTTGAGCAATCGCGATCACCTATTTTTCAGTAAGTACATTGAAAATTTTTATCTGTTGTACCTCGGCTCAACCACCGTTTCATTTGAACACCGTCATTGTTAGAACGTTTCAGCCAATCAAGACTAAATTTTGTATCTTTTGGCATAAATTATTACTTCAAGTTTATGAGGAATTAGTGAAAACATTTTATATCAAAGATAAGATTATTCGTCTTGTCACTGATAGTGCTTTTAATGATATTAGTTCTTTTAGAAATCTTATTATTCTCGGTTTCGAACAATACTTCATCGACGATGATGATAACGAAATAGTCGAAGAGGATGGAGATATTAAATGTAGTGATGGAACACTTAGTGAAGAGCATGATGAACCTGAATATATTTCTTTATTAGCAACATCAAACTCTACACCTGGTGAATTAACAGCAAAAGATTTGATTGAAAATTCATTTCGTAATTTGTTGGAGAATAATACATCCGCACACCTTACTTTGCTCACACAATTCGATTGATTGTGAAGGGTGGATTGAAGGAAGCAACATCAATTTTATCATCATTGGAACAAGTAACTGTAATTGCTAAACTCTCTCACACCAGCATTAAATTTACAGAAAAATTAGAGCTTTTGAAAGTACAAATACCTCGTGCAGTGATCACTCGATGGAACTCTCAATTTTAATGGTTGAACGTATTCTTCATATACATTCTTGTAAACTAAATGAAATCTTAATTCAATTAAAGTACAGGCATTCATGTTTGAACACATGTGGTTTAGGTCTATTAAATGAATTTGTTTCACTGCTTACTCTTCTTGCCGAAGTAGTAACTAAAACTCAACAACAAAATGGTCCGACAATTTCATTAATTGCTCCTAGTACTTTAGCGATTTATAATGATTTAAAAGATGAAAAGAATAATGTCCATTATATGACACCATTGTGCACTGTTCTATTATGATCATTATTATCAAGATTTGGTGGGTTATTGGAACAATCAGAAATCAATATGGACGGAACGAATATTAATTTTCGAAAAAATCAAAAACTTTTATGATTCCTAAAAAGACCCTGTTTTATTTTTGCACCATTTCTGGATAGTATATTGAAGCTTGACTGGATCAATACATCCAAACTATCTAGCTAAGTTAAACGATGAGTACGTGAAAAGATTAAACAGATAATTCTCGATCAAGGTGTTGCCATTGAATATTCTAATCATAAGAATATTGAACCTGATACAGATGTGATTAAAGAACGACGGTAAGCATCCAGCAGGGTGAGGGTGAGGGTGGGTGAATCCGAAGGATGTAAGGTATGAAATGACGTGAGAGTGAGAAAGAGGCCGATGAATGAATATCAGACAAAGAGGAAATTTTCATAATTTCTGAGGCAGAAATTAGCTTCGGTAACTGTTTTGCATAAAAAGATATAGTCAAAACTGCCATTTTGTCCGATGCACGGCGGGAAAATAAGGAGTGGAAGCGTAGAAATTTGAATTATACTGATCTTCTATCTGTTATAGCTCTTCAACACGTAAGATGTTCGATTTAGATATTTCTTATTTGCATCGGGTACTCCCTCTAGTAGTTTTATACAGTTGATTGTGCCGAACAAAACCTGGTATCGGACAAGTGACAATAGTTTTCTGTACATTCAGAACAATGTGACAGAATGACCTTGCTCCGTGGACAGGCTGATTATCAAAATTAGCTACAAAATATTTATGTATTTCAGAACTTCTGCTGATGTTGAGTGCATCTTTTCACAAAGTAGCTTTCTTTTAAAACCACATCGTGCTCGAATGTCGTGTCAAACTCTTCAAAAATTAACTTTTTTAAAATGCAACAGTGGAATTTAACTGATGCTATGTTATTTTTTCTTTGGTTGCTTTGTCTTCTTGCTTATAATTGTATTGAAACTTGCTTCTTTCGATATAGAATGGAAGCACGATATATTAATCTGCTCATAAATACGTAAATAAAACTTGATGGAATTTCATGGAATGGCACAGACGCTTCACCCGTTTTAACGGCGGTCTGGGTTGCTCCAATGCCCAGCCAGAAATAACGTAACTTGATTTGAAAACTGGTTTGGTTTATTTCATACAGAAAAATGACTTGACTTGATTCTTAACTTGGACTTGGAGACTTTTAGATATGACTTGACTTGCCCATGTCTGATTTATATGCCTAACCTAATCGTTTCTTTCAATAGCAACCAAGAACAAATCACTTGATCTGCCATTTAGCACTATTATATGCGATAGTTTGGGATAACTCATGATCTGAGTGATTTTCCATTTAAATGGTTTTGAACAATGAAAACCATGTGGAAATATTTTTAAAAAACAACTAATCAGTATTTTAGAGAGAACACTAGTCTGAATTAATCGAAGGAAAAGCACTGAGATGTAGTTTAGAGAGGTAACTGCGTTAAAATATGGCGAAATCATTAAAGCTACTACGACGCACTTAAGGGATTTTCTATAAGCGTATCGAGATGTGTTTCGATCTTTGAGTCGAGCTGGGTGTTTAAAGGGAGTAATTTTAGCAAACGGATGTAAATCCAGCTAAGAAGTCTTCTGGTGGTGTCTGGATACATTTTTTGATCGTACAATAGCCAAATTTGTCAATGCTATAAGGGTGAAAGGAGAAGGAGAGAAAGAGATTAGAACCACGTGAGGTGGGCGCATCTAGAATGAAATTTTTTAAATTTATATGAAACGAGTTAGGCCCGGATCTCAAGAAATGTTTAGCGGCCCTTTTGAGTTAAAATGTACCTAAAGAGACGTGGTTTTCTGGCAGGTTGCAGAATTATTCCGGAGCGAATGAAAAACCTCGGAAATTATTGAAAATGTGTCGTCTTTAATGTGATTAAGCGGAATATGTATAATGATTGTTTGGCTTTTTTAACCTATGAACAATAGCTAATATCTACCATGAATATTCGATGGGTTACGTAGAATAAACTATAGGAGTCCAATTAATCGATGAATAAAAGTCTTCCTAGGTTGCCGATAGTGGAACGAAGAGTCTTTCAAAAAAAATGTAGCAGTATGGGGAAAACGAGTGGGCGAACGTTATGGGTTGCATTCACCGGCGCATCCGAAAGTCGTCGTCCCGTACGCTTTTGATATGCATTGCCACTGACCTTAACAACTGATATTACAAAGGAATATTACACCTGTAATTGCAATGTAATAAATACGATTCATCCAAATATAAAACTATCTACTAGGGACTTTGCTGCACTCGATTGTATCTCTATAATTTGAAAAATGTCCCGTCTAATTTTCCCTCACATAGAGCTTAACTTTCACAGAGCTTTGTTAACCGAAACACAATAGAAATATAAGATATGCGTTATAACATATGTAAACGTCATGAACTTCCTTCACTCAAGTGTTATTTTCTTACATTGATCGCACGTTCACGACACATTTTATTCTTAGCCCAGATACATTTATTATTTGAGATGAAAAATAGCTTTCACTACTCTACTATATTTTACGGGAAATAAAAGTTGTTTTTGTGGATTGTTCACTCTGGAAAAGCTATAGTTTCTTGAAGACGTCAAACATAGTGTTTTAGCCTGGCTCACAACTTTCAAGTATACAAGTGGCTACAGCCAATGTCTTCACTCAAACTTGACGTATTCTATAAGCTAATATAGTAAAGAAGCACGAATACATTAACGTACAATTTCGATCAGAGTCGCGACATAACTACGACTTACCCGTGGATCATAATTTAGTAATGAATTGAGCAAATTAACTGATGCTGTAGGTATACAGCAATAACGATTTATTGGAGAATACAGGGTGTTGCTGAGTGACGAAGCCAATCGTCAGTGTGTTATGATTGATGTATTTCTATTTACGATATACAACCTGAATGTATTAGCAGGACACAAATAGTCAGTAATTCTAGTATTATAGAAAGATTTGTCGCTCACAGTCTTCCCAGATTCTCACAATCTAAACCTACCTTCAACATAGTACACCTACCTGCGCGATTCTCAACACCCTTCTACTTTTCATATTCTTCCTCACTTACACCTACGTCCTCAAAACAAATAAAAACTATAGAATATATAACCTGCAGAGGGATGATGAAGTATCTGAATCCGAATTGCAACGCGTATGTTCAGGAATGGCTTTAAACCAATATTTAAACTCAAACTGTGCAAGTGTTAGGAGAGGAAAAGCGAAACGGTTAGAGTTTACTCACGTGCAATTGCAACCAAAGATCCAATAACCATGGAGACTTAGCTGTGGACTGTGGCTCGGCAAATGGATCCTTCACTATACAATACATACCGGTTAATCGATGAATCCCAACCATTACTGAAAGACGAAATCCATTTGAGGTACATCATTATTGTTGCATTTCTAGTTGTGATATCTCACCTAAATCTATTCTCAAAGTCACTACTACCTCATAGCCTCTTCCTGAAGTGTGAGTCTAGTGCATAGTGCAGGACACTGCTAGTCGTTAGTCTTAACACTTCTGTTTACTGGCATACACAAATGGTTGAACTTCTACTCTTATCGAGAACTTTGGCCTTCCCATCAGCGGCCGCCCACACGCATACCTGACCACCCTATGGGATCTAAATACCCCAATTTGTCTTCAACTTACCACATCTAGTCGCACACTTTTCAACGCTTTTCAGCTCTCGCTCTTCTTTCTCGCCCTCACATCCACCCTCACACCTCAATTAATCTTTATTATTCACAATCAAACACACATACATAAAACTAAAAATATGCTTCAAGCGTTGATGCCAGTGTCTGCTTTTTGTATTGGCATTTCGACGGCCAACACAATGATTGCAACAACCTTCGCCTCATATGGCGCACCTGTTTACGGCTTTACCAAAAGAGATGACTCCCGTAACGAAAGGTTTGGACTTCATTCCCAATGCCATAATAAAAGTGGGAGGCGTTAATGCATATAATGCAGTTTCATCCAACAATGTAGAAATACATAGATTGTACATAGTTGGAATATGTGTATCCATAGTAGATGTCTAGTTAGCGGTAAAGCCCGTTATTTCATTTGTTGCTACTTCTGTCCCAAATGTATCCGCATTCACGATTTCAGGGTCATTTCATTGACTTGTCTTGTAAACATGTTCCAGGAAAAAGACGAGAGAGATGATGTGAAAAGAAGAACTGCTGTTCCGATTCAAGTCGTGCTAAGTCATAGCATTACCCCAACTTCGGCTACCCGAAATTGAACGCGAAACAGCAGGGGGAGAGAGATAGGAAGAGAGGATGGGAGAAAGAAAAACTGTTGTTCCGGTTCAAGTCGTGCTAACTCACAGCATTACCCCAATTTCGGCGAACCGAAATTGTACGCGAAACAACAGGGAAAGATTGTACGTACCTGTGAATAAGACAGTTTTTTGTATAGGTGATTGAGATTGAATGGATGCATTTGGGAGGTTCAACGAAAATGGCGTTTGTAAAAATGATTATAAATCCATTGAGCTACATGACCATCGGCGTATTCACTTGCCACCCAATGAGAAGAGTAACGAATAATCGATGCAGTAGTTAGTGATTAAACAGTTTTACGAGATACGACACGCATTATGTACGTCGTGTAGTATTAAAATGACTGTTTTTTTAATACTGGACCATGTTTATTAGACTGGCTACTGCCTGCCTCCATATTTGTAACAATGTGTTTACTACCTATGAGAAGAGAAGAGAAGAGCCTTGGCAATGGGAGGGAGGCGCTTTCATATGTAGTTGAATCAAATACTGTGGTGCAATTATCGTCTCTGAAGTTTACGCTCTTCCCAAAGCAGATTTAGCATCGTTGTTGGTATTTAATGTTGGCGAAATGTTCCAGCCTTGTTGATATTAACCGACTCTTGAAGAGCTAATTGACATATAATATAGGTTCCATTTGCACTGTCACGGTGGTCGACTTCTCGCGATCAACTTTC